GTTTTGTTTTGATATATATAAGATGTTCGGATTTTTTCATCTAAATAAAAAGCGACATTAATTTCTTGACAACCTAATACTTCTGTTTTGTTTTGTAAGGAAAACTTTATAGACTTTATTAATCCACATCTGTGTCCTAACAAACAGTAATTTACTAATATCAAATTAAGTGTCAAACAATAAGCATTTCTTAATGTGATTTATTTATATATATCTAGTATGTCGTCATGACAGATTATTCAGGAACTCAATTAATACTAAATTAGATCTAGTTAGGGTACAAAACAGCTTCACAAAATACGTTATATCATTTACAACAACGTTTTAGGTGTGTTGCAATAATGTTTTGTTTTTTTTTACTTTTAAACTTGAACTGTTCCACTATATTTTATAGTAATAAGTGAGACCTTGAAAAAACGTTACCATGAATGTTAGCCATGTTAATTTTTTTTAAGTCACGAGGAGTTTGATATTTATTTTTATGTTGTATTCTACACTCCCGTTAACGTTGCAAACATCAACTAACGCTTCGTTATCACCAGTTTCTTTCTATTGTGTATCTCTCCAACTTTGCAAACATCAACTAACGCTTCGTTATCACCAGTTTCTTTCTATTGTGTATCTCTCCAACTTTGCAAACATCAACTAACGCTTCGTTATCACCAGTTTCTTTCTATTGTGTATCTCTCCAATTTTAATAGCGTATTTATCAAATAATGTTCTGATGCGATTTATTTATTTTATTCAAGAAATGAAACTTAAATTTCTATTAGTTCCGAGTCCATGAAAACAACAACAACACAATTTAATATGTATTTTTTGTTTTATAAGTCTGGCTAGACCAGCTGAACCTGTGAAGCAGACGGCTCCTACTAGAGAGAGTTGTCGAATATGTCTGAAGAATATTTCTGATGGCGAACAAAACAGGGAGTGTGACGAGTGTGGTCAGAACGTGTGTGAAGATTGTGCTTCCTACTCCGGAGACCCTACCGACAGCCTACAGGTTTATATATTGTAGTTTTAAAAGCTACGTAAAATTTGCGGTGCTTTAATAAAATCATATAAAAACAAGATGTACATATTTATTTCTTTTGTCTGATCTTATTGAGCAGTGCGTACGATTTTATTTTTCTTTTGGCTGTTTTTACTAAGCAGTACATATAATTTTGTTTGTTTTTACTGAGCAGTATTTATGGTATTTGTTGTTGTTCTTTTAAATGAGCAGTATGTATGATCTTGTTTTTTTTTGCCTGTGATTTCTAAGCAGCATTTATGACGTTTTTGCTGTTTTTACTGAGACGTATGTACGATTTTATGTTTATTTTGTCTGCGTTTATTAAGCAGTATTTATGATGTTTTTGCTGTTTTTTACTGAGGCGTATGTATGATTTTGTTATTCTTTTGTCTGTGATTTTTAAGCAGTATTTATGACGTTTTTATGCTGTTTATACTGAGATGTATGTATGATTTAATTTTTATTTTGTCTGTGTTTACTGAGCAGTATTTATTATGTTTCTTTTGTTGTTTTTACTGAGCAATATGTATGATCTTGTTTATCTTTTGTCTGTTTTACTGAACAGTAGTCGTGTTTCTTTTTTTTTGATAGATTGTTTAGGCAGAATATTCATGATGAAATCTGGTTGAACGGACGCCAACTGCCTATTGTAGAAATACAAGTATAGAAGACGACGTTTCGAAAGTCTTCTGTTTTTCGTCTTCTTGTGTTCCTACAACAGGCAGTTGCCGTTCATTCAACCAGGTTTCATTAAGTAGTTATGCTGCTTGTTACTGAGCAGTACTTATGATTTTGTTTTTCATTTGGCTGTCTTTATTGAGTAGTATGTATGATTTTGATTTTATTTTGTCGGTTTTTATTGTAGCAGTATTTGTGATGTAGTTGTTTTTTTTGCTGTTTTTACTGACAAGTATGTATGATTTTGTTTTTCTTTTGTTTATTTTTACTGAGCAGTATTTATTATACTTTTTCCTGTTTTACTGACAAGTATATATGATTTTATATTTCTTTTGTTTATTTTTACTGAACGGTATTTACGTTGTTGTTTTTGCCGTTTTTACTGAACAGTATATATGATTATTTTATATTTTGGCTATCATTATTTACTATTATGTACGATTTTGTTTTTCTTTTGTCTATTCTTACTGAGTAGTATGTATGATTTTGATTTTATTTTGTCTGTTTTTATTGAGCAGTATTTGTGATGTAGTTCTTTTTCTTTTTTTTTGCTGTTCTTACTGAGCAGTATGTAAAATTTGCTTTTGTTTTTTTACTTTCATGGATTCTCAAAGTTTTGCTAAAATGTTTAAAATGCTTGCATAAAATTCTAGGTAAGCAGATAGCCACTGAACACAGTTATGCCTATCCTTTCCGTGGGCTGATTTACCGACAAGACTTCTCAGTGATAAATAAAGCACTTATAATAACCCTGTTGACACTACAATGCGAAGTACGTTCTATAGGGCAGAATTTGCTTAAAAATATTAAAGCGTTGCAGATTGCTTGACAGAAATGTCAATCATAATTTCTGTTGTTCCTGCTATTTAAATAATCCTATTTTTGAAGGCTTAGCCAAGCTGTGCTAATTTATTAATAAACGTTATTCAACTGTGACCGGAACAAAACATGTAAAACTACTAATTTTACCTTAAAATGATAAAAATAACGCTTCGAAATTTTACCTAACTTTTAATAGGCTAAAAGAAGGTCATATTAACCATAATTTTCTATAGTACATGAAAGTACTATACTCAAATAATACACACATAATATATTTTATGACCATTCTTGTGCATAGATAAGTAAATAAGTAAAAAACATTCAACGTCTTAAAATGCACAATAATTTATTGTATAAAGTAAAAAGTAAAATATACAATTAAAAGCGCTACATGTTTTGGTGGGAAAATTCCACTATCTTCAAGAGACCAATAAATTATTGTGCATTTCTGAATGCTGAAGTTTTTCCTTACTTTATGATAAATCATTTTTTGATACATTTTTGACTTCATAATCTTAATAACTGCTTGCATAGCTTTCTGCGTTATCTTTACCATATTAACACAAAGGTAACGCCGGTGACTTCGTATTTCTTTAATTCAGTTACATTGTAAGTTTGGTATCTTTCAAAAATATATTCTAATTCCTTTATGCAATTTCTTCATTAAAAAAAAGCCAAACATTACAAGTGTATTTACAACGCTTTGTAAATTATTTAACGATTTAAAATTTCGTGTTCAAGTTGTAACATTAAGCCATAAAATGATTATGATTACAAATTACATGAGAATTCAGGTTATTTAATTGTTAGCTTTGCAGTCCTGCAAAATATTTTCGAGAAATCAAATAATTCCTTATAAATTTGACTGGTAAAAGAAACACTGACACAAAAATATGAGTAAAACTATAAGATGTGTTACAAAATGTTTAACAATACAGAAAAGAATTAAAAACAAAATGAGAGCTACTGATTAAATGTGTTTTGAAGATTTGTATGTATAAATATTATTTAGCTAGAAGAAAAATATGAACATTATTATAAAAGAAAGTTTGTAGAAGTGCTTATTTCTGGAACGAAATGGAGTGACTCATCAGTTTTTAAATTTCCTTAAGATATTACCAAAACCCTATATTTGTCCTTTTTTTATTTTGTATTTTATAAAAACATATTTTCACTTCAGGAATGGAAATGTAGTTTTTGTAGAAGACGACAGGGTCAAGATCGTCTTGGTATCGAACTTCCGCCAGGATCGGGAATGAATCGAGTGCCGTCAGTTCGTCGAATGGTAAGTAAATTTCAATTATTTTATTTCTTTGGAATATACATGATAATTTGCTATTTTTATCCTTCTTCAGCGGTAAGTCTGAGGGCTCATGCCCCTTAAAAACCAGATTTTAATGCTCGTGATCGGCACAACACAGATAGCCCATTGTGTAGTTTTGTGCTGAACAGCAAACAAACAAACCTTCTTCAAAAATTAGCCTGTATAATTGGGTTTCTCTTTAGAACTCGGGACAAAAAGAATTGCGTTGAAAATCTGTTACTGTTGGATGAAAAAATACAATTAATGGGCATCTAAAATAACTTAAATATAGTAGTATTTTGTGTATCGAATGTGATATTCGTTGAGTGTGTGAAAATATAAAATATCAAAATAAACTTTAACCATTTATCACTTTTACCTAAGCTGATTTAACGTGTGGTTTTATGGAACCATCAGACTTCAACCTAAAGCTTTTGTTCAACAATGCATGCGACTAGTTATATCTGGAGCAACGTCATACGACTAATAGGGTAGCTTTAAAGTGACTTAAAATTTGTTAGAGGACACTAAAATATCAAATTTCAGTTTCTTCTTATAACACCACATGGTATTTTCGTAATTTATTTTTAAAGAGTAAAGTTATTCTATCAACTTGGTGTCAATATCAATATATGTTTATAATAATTATCAACTGATGTATTAGTTTTTCTCACAAACGCTGTTACAGGAACAAAGGGCACGAGAAGCAGGTAAGGAAGGATATTTTTCATCTCTTGACCCTGGAAGTGACTTTGACATTTTGAAGACTTCAGAAGAGGCGACTGATTTCAAAGCTTTTAATTCCATAGACGAAAGTGTACCGTCATTCAACATTGTCGCCACAAATATTAAAGGTTTAACTAAAGATCAAGACCGCGAAATTAGGAATAAAAGGAGATCAAAGACCCTCGCAACAAAAGCCAATCATAGGAGGCAAGTTTCCTTAAAGAGAAAAGACAGTAGACCTACCGTAGAAAAAAAGAAATCAACTGATGTTTCAAAGAGAATAAAAGAAAAAAGAAGAAGAAGCATTCTTACTTCTACAGGAGAATATTTGTCAAGGTCTTCATCTCCAGAAAAGCATGCCAGAGAGAGGCATTTTTCATTCGAAAATTTAAGTGATCGATGCTCCTCTTCTGAATCTACAAAAGGAATGATAACATCAAAAATGCTAGCTCTTAAAGCAGTTTATCGTAAAGATGACTCGCATCTTGGGTCATATTTGTCCCACGCTGACTTTGTACAACTAAACAAACATTCTTCTGCATCTGGAAGTTCTTTGGAGGAAAGTTCTCACAAAGAAGAAAAGGAACGTAAACGAAGAAGTAGAACTAAACGTCGATCAAAAATCCAGCGACAAAATTATTATGTCAGAGAACCAGATTCAGATCCAATTTCTTATCGAGATGAGAATTTTCCAAAAGCAAATACAAAAACTTCTTTTGAGTCAAGTAGTGCCATCGACAGTCTTGAAAAAGACCTGAACTATGAATCTCAACGCCGCCATAGCATGAGAGTACCTACAGTTCTAGAAAAGCCTCTCCGACAAATTGCATCAGAAACCGCTTTGGACAAAAGAAGAGTCAGTTCTGAGAGCTCTGATACAAGTGATATCAGTGAAGATATATCTACACACAGCGATCGAAGTGGCTTTGATGGAAGTCATGAGGGTTACCAGAAAGGTGAAAAAGTTGCCGTGCAGAATCCTATGATTCAACGAGATGATTCTAAGAACATACCGGCACATTTGCAATTTGTAGAAGGTGGATATTTTAGCCCCACTGGAACAGCAGACAGCTCACTTTCTCTTGATGAACATTCCCATCTTTCTTCAGACAAGTCTTTTTCCCTGGATGACAGAGATATTTTCAGGACGTCAACACCACACATAAGACGAAGCATCCCATCAGTCCTTGTTGATTCGGTTGTAGACCATCAAAGATCAGCCAGTGTATCGCTTCTGACCTCTGGTCATTATATAATGGACAATCCTTTTCCGAGAAGAAACAGCACAGGAAGAATGCTTCCCATGCTTCCCGTAACAGACAACCAGCTTGGTTTATATCCTGCATCACAAAGTAGAAGCTGGAGTACTCACTCTCTCGACTTACCAAGGGAAGAATCCGGATGGGCTGAGCGAAGAGCGTCAGCTCCAGAAGGAGAAAACATCAAAATTGTGGTTGATGATGTAGATTCTCATCCAAATGGTAAGATTATGCTTAAAATTACTTTTATATAATTCTGTCATATTGCTTATAGCATTTATGTTTGTAAAACATGATATTTTCTAATAACATTTGTCTCATTGTTTATTGTCTTAACCTCATTACGTTAATATACAAATACACATGTTCATAAAAACAACTACAATATATGGTGTAAATATTATCAAGAAACCAGAAAGAAAAGATATCAGATATAGAATGTTATAAAGATATATATAGAATAGATATATCAACATGGCAGCAACTTTTCTCATGACGACAAGTTATCTCATTAAAAGTTATAATTATATTTTTTGTCTAGACTTTTTATGATAAAAAAAAACTAGAAACCTTTCGGATGTAATTTAAACTTGGAAGAAAAAGGTATTTTTTTTCTCTATACAAACATGTGCTCATGATCTACCATCATATGTAACTTATTTTTTTCTAGATTGGGTTGCAACTTTAATCGATATCACTACTTAATACTAAAATTTGATTTATATTTCAATATCGTTAAGGGCAAAATAAAAAAATAGAGCTGAAAGCTTGTGAAATGAAAATTTAAAAAAATTAAGAAAGCTTACAAAGTTACTTATGAAACACTTTTATCGCGCATCGTGGATCTTAACTAATTATTTTCTGTTTATACATTTTCTATACATTAAAAAAGATTTAATGTACTGAATCTAAGAAAGCAACACTATGTGTCATTTTGTATGTACCCGAAGGAAACTGAACTTGGTAATTGCCAACGATAGTTAACTTCGAAAGGACAACATCTAGCAAATTATTTTGTAGTGATGTTTCAGAAGAAGGTATAATTTATTTATGATAAAAAAATGCTTCTTTTAGTCACTTTAAGGGAAGATCTGTCAGAGAAAAACTGAACTTAAAAGTGAGTGTTATTACTACATTATCATTTCTAAATACGAAGGTTATTAATTTTCGGACAAATTAGAAAACGTATGTTTGTTATGCTACTAGCTAACTTATGCCTTATTTATTATTATATGTGGTTGTTTTTTCGGATATTTGCACAATTTTTAGCTTGTTTGTTGTTGTTCTTTGTTTCTGATACTCGAGCAAAACAAATACAACTAAGGTTACCAGAGTTACCCGCCTGTAGCACAGAATTTATAGATTAGAGGGAAGGCTGCTAGTCAACAGCAACCACCGCCAACATTTGGCTACTCTAATCGAATAACGTGATGTAACCGTTAGTCATATAACTACAGAAACTGCCCTTCGCATTTTGAAACCAAGATCACGCTACTGGATATAGTTATTGAGGACGATTATCCACTGATATCGAACTACACAAGAGGCTGAGTATTTAGTGTCAGATCAGACTTCTGATACTGGATGTGAGATTGCGGAAGAGGTTGAATATAGTACACAGGGTCTTTAATGATGGGTACTTGAGCAATAGCTATGTTGAGTACTCAGTTAAAAGTCTATAGGCGTAATTGAGCTGGCAATGTTAAGGTTTGAAAATGGATATAAAATTCCAGCGGTATAAAATTAAAAGATGAATATTTCTAGAGGATGGAAAAATTAGTTAGTGAAGAATGCTAACTGTTGAATACTAGGTCATGAATGTGTGTAAGCCTTGCATAAAAATTGACTTTCTGAATACTTGATACAAAATCCTAAGTGGGTTGAAGAAAATTGGGAATAAAAATGTGAATAATTATGGGTATACTATTTCAGATCATGTTAGATATTTGTAGTTAAATACAAATATGCAGTCGTAGCAGACTTTAGGATAAAATGTCACGAGGGGAATGTGTGGTGAATATTACAATCGTCAAAAATTGTGAAGTATGCTTAATATGATGTCTAATATTTTGGATGTTATTCATTTTTTGTTACAAAATCATGGAAGATGGTTATCTTTGGACACTGCAAGGCTGGCTAGATGGCTTTGTCAATGATGATTATTAAATATAAATCAATCCATAGTACTTGTTGTTGGATACGAGATTGTTAACTACCAACTTAGATCGAAATTAAAAAATTAATCCTGAAATGATTATTTTTAATTAAGTATACGTTCTTACTTATAGGTATTAGAATGTAATCTTTCATCAGCCTCGTTGTTACGGCTCAGCATAGCCAGATGGTTAAGGCACTTGACTAGCAATCTGAGGGTCGTGGGATCGAATTCCCGTCCCACTAAATATGTTCGCCCTTTCAGCCGTGTGGGCGTTTTTAATGTGACTGTCAGTCCTACTATTCGTTGGTAAAAGAGTAGCCCAATAATTTACGGTAGGTAGTGATGACTAGCTGCCTGCCCTCTAATCTTTCACTGCTAAATTAGGGACGGTTAGCGCAGATAGCCCTCATGTAGCTTTGCGCGAATTTCAAACCAAAGCCTTGCTGTTATCTATATCTTCGGTTGTTGATGAATATTTATTATTGGATATTAGTCGTGAATAGTTCTAGTTTGAAAGAAGCCTTTCTTCGTGTTACTCACTATTTGAGCTCTATCACATCCCTGGACTAAATATTTAATTCTATATACCATGGGATCATGAAACGTGTTTGTCTCTCATAAATTTTTAGTAGAATTTGTTTGAGATAATTTTTTAAACAAAAACGGTTTTCCTGTTTTACAGTAGATCAAAATAGCTACAGGTGGAAATATATTTTTCGAAAAATGATATTTTTTTACTCTAGAGATTAAAGAAATAGATACAGTAATGGCCTAAGACTTTTCGTATTTTACGTAAAATGCCGTTTTCCCAAATGGCTTTTATAATTATTCAAAAATTGCACCATTACACAAAACGGTGAGTTGACAGTGATGGTTTGTCATTAGAACAAGTAATCTAAGGCTTTAAATTTATATACTTTACAAACAATCGATTAATAGACCAACAATAACAAAAATCAAATCTTGATTTACCACGTCTATCGCTTTACAGCAAGACCAACTTAAATTTTGAATTCAATTTGCTGACAGATATGACAGATAATCTTTCCATACTATTAAATTATTTTAATCTAATGTATTTTTGTTCAGTTTTATGTAACAGGAACTTTGTGTTCAAGCGTCGTTTAAACATAGATCGAATTCCCCTAACGAAAGATAATGGTATGATACTTTCATAACTTGTGGTTTCATAGATGTTACAGAAATGTGCTTATTTTTATTCACTTAATAATACATAATTTTACGTTCAATGTATAAGCCATTATTCTAACACATTACATACATAAAATATATTTTGTTCTTAATCTGAGTATGAAATCCGTTGATGCTAAAATCACTTGCTTCAGTGAAGAATCGTTTTATAAACAAAACATTGTTTAATGAAATTTGTCAGTAGTTCATTATACAGACTCGATGCTGTTATATACTGTTCATTAAATCCATCTGAGATATTATCTTTTACAAAGACTTTAAATGAATGTTGCTGTGGCTCATTCAACAATATCCGTCCAATGAACATGAATATTAGCAATATTTATAATACTTTCTACTTCCGAAACCCTAATTTGTTGTTCTTGGTGAATGTACCTTATTTGTATATGTCGTTTTCGTGTTCAGTCTCCAGTTGCAAGTGATAAATATGTTAGTAACTATTTTATTTTATTTTTTAATTCAAACCAAACGAGCTTTAGCATAACAAATTTTATAGTTTCGCTTTTAACTTAAACTAATCCTAAACTAACTATTAAAAATAATGCAATATTTCTGTCATGATTGCTATTTTTGTTGTCAAGATAAAAATTTCTCAGTGGGCTATCTCTAGGAATCGAATCACAAATGTTAGCTTTATAAGCCCTTAAATTTTCGCTAAACCATCGGATGCTTATCAGAAAAACATATTTAAATGAATGAAATACGACAATATTTATTGGTATGACATGCACGTGAGAATGCGTTTATAATTATGTATAAAACAACAATCAGTTTCTTCTTCAACTTTGTACTTTCTCTATAATTTATATTTACAGCATTGATCAAACAAGTTGCTTAAGAATCTCCCACGTTCGTATTTTCCATAAAATAAAAAAGCTAGAAACCATGTTACTGATGTCTTACTTTCTGCCTTCTTCAAAATAGAATGGTATGATGGGGATAAACACAATGCATCAATTGTTGCAACATCATAAAATAAATTATATGTACTAAATAATCGTTAAAAGCAAAACAACAATTTAAAATACATTTCTGAAGAGTTTAAAGCTGCTTGTTTAACTGTCGTCTGTTACAAAAATTGCCCTTACTAATTTTCAAAAAGCAACATTATCAAAGAAGCATGTTATATATTTTCTAAACCTATTTTTCACACGCAACAATCAATATAGTTTTTGTGTTCTTGATTTTTTTTTTTTAGTTTAGACTCTAATATACTATAAATAAAACATACAGAGTATTAATTATAAATATTTTTTATGTCCTAGGTGTTCGTGGTAAAAGCTCTCGACAACCGCTTTTGAGGTTGGTGAGACTACATCGTGATCGGAAGGTACCAGGTAATATATTATTATTTTATCGTATTGACAGTTCGTACCACCAAGTCTCGAACCTGAAACTCTTGGAACTTCACTTCGATATACTGGTCACTAGACCACACTCAGGCCTAATTATAAAGTGGGGTAAGGTCTTCAAAAGTGCTAATTTTTCAAATAATATTTCAGTCTCATACACCATTGTAGTCACGGACAAAACCATAGACTTCACAGAGTTAAAAACTGAAATGTTCATTGAAAGTTATCAAATGAACAGACTTAAAACACCGAAATGTTTCCTGAAAGTTACCAAATGAACAAAGTGTTAAAACAATGAAATGTTCACTGAAAGTTATCAAATGAACAGAGGTTAAACAATGAAATGTTCACTGAAAGTTATAAAATGAACAGAGGTTAAACAATGAAATGTTTACTGAAATTTATCAAATGAACAGAGGTTAAACAATGAAATGTTCACTGAAAGTTATAAAATGAACAGAGGTTAAACAATGAAATGTTTACTGAAATTTATCAAATGAACAGACTTAAAACACTAAAATGTTCAATGGAAGTTATCAAATTAAATATCTCAAAGGTTCTTATGGTACTTAACAATCCATACCTGTTAAAATACTTAACTTCACTCAATCTAACTTATTTACAATTGTGAGTAATGTAATCTAGCCATTACTTGCTTATTGTCGTCCATTAAACTTAAAACAAGAACTTATAATGAGCGTAAAAATAGTTTACGTTACAGTTCCATTTACTGATACAATACAGAACTAATATATTGAATTTACAGACAGGTTTCTGACAACAGTAACCTTAACATTCCCTACTTACATACCTTAGTAATACAGATTTATTGCCGGCGCTAAAACACTACGATTACGTATTTATCAGTTCTAGTCTGTAAAGATCTAAAATACATTAAAGTACATCCAAACAAATGTGGTCTTATCAAAGAAAACAACCCACTGTAATGTTTCACACTCAACAAATTCCTACAAGCTGTTTATCTTCTCACATCGAAATATATTTGTATAACTCAACCATGATGTCTTTCATCGAATTGTCTATGGGTAGTAAATTTATTCCACAAGTTTCGACTTTGTATTTATTCGAACTTCAATCCTCAGTCGTAAAAGGGGACTTATAAAGAAAGGATATAACACAATTTTACACATTAATCGCACTTGTGGACATACTGACGATATTATTTACCTAATTATCAAGACTTTCTTGGCACGTCGTTAGTCAGTCAATGAAGTTCGAGCTTTTCAATAAAATAGCCACTTACAATTTTAAAGCTATAAATTTAAATATGCCGTATAAGTTATGCTATTTTTTACTCAACACAACTTGTTAGACACAGTAGAATTGGTTCAAAATTACAAAGTTTTTGGACAGTGTTCGTTGTTTCACTCTCATTTTTCACAAACGAGGTTTCTCATGCCGTATTTTGAAACCAATATTATTTAGTTTTGTGGTAAATTCAACATTGTTCTTGATAGCGCTTATGGTATTAATACTTTCATAACATACTTCAACGGTTTTAAATGATTAATGTTTCTTCATCATAATCTATAACTATTTTTTACTGCTTTTAATTTGTCGTGTCTAGCTTTAAGGAAATGATGAACAACTGTAATATGGAACACTAAAAAAAGAATGAAATCCTCGTGGATGAGAAATCGGATTATGAGATATGAAGATTGAGGTTAGACAAATCATTAAATAATAAACTGTTTAATCGCTAACGTTTCGACCAACAGCCCTTCGTCAAACTGCTGACAGTAAATATTTTGGTCTGACAAAAGACGATTCTTCGAAACATCACCGAATAAATTATTACGTCTTTAGTGATTTGTCTAACCTCAATATTAACCTCTTATAAACTTTAGTATAGATGCTACCGTTAGTTTCATTCCCCTCTAGTTGTTACAAATTTGTAAACAGCTCAACATTATTTGTTTACTTACATTAGTACCTGTTACAGTGTTAATAACTTAAATTTTTCTATTTATTAATTTTGGATATTTCATTTGCCAAGTCTCCTTATTGCTCTGATCATTTTTATACCTGAAATGGTTTAATTCTGCTTATTACTTCAGGCTAACCACTCTATAAATGGATCCTGTGTACTTGGAAAAGGTGTGGCCGCAGGCCAGATTAGTCGATCATCATCTCTGTTCAGAGCATGTTCTGGAACTTTTTATAGTTCATAATTTTCGAACATTTTTACATATATGTCTTATATTTTACAATTTATTCAGCCAGTTTTGTTATTTATTAAGTTTCTTATTCATATATTCTTAAACGTTCTGTTTCTTTTATTCTTTTTTTGCTGCACTACTGTACAATCCTACTGGTCTCGATAGCTAAAACATAACATGTCGTTGTCGCTATACTGTTGATAATGGTATTTCTAACTTACAAATAAAGCTCAAGTCACTTACTTATTACATTTTTATGGCATACATTTCTATGACACAACTTTCAACTGGCTGACTAAAACACTATTTTATAGCTGGCCGGCCACATCATAAATAAAATATTTTGATAGCATTTCTTGTTAGAAGAAATAACCAATACTGTATTAATTCAAAATGGGATAAGGATTAAGATGTAGATGGATGTAATTATCACTTTTGAGCGTTAACGTCATTTTCTTGTGTATAAAGGTCACCGAGGTCAAACAAAAAAAATTGTGGACTTTTTCGGAATTGTCATCTGTTTGTGCATAACTTTCAATGTACTCGGAAGATCAGCAACTTGCATGAAAGATTGATAAACATCTTAATTAACATGCAAAGAAAATAAGAACAGAAAATGTTTTTTTCTCAAAATCGTATTCTCAACATCGTGTACATATATCTAATCATTTCCATAATATTTGTTCATATTGTTTGGCCTTCTGGCAAGTATGCCTGAAAAAAAAAGGCTCATATAAATGTGCTGAAAAGATGAAGTAATGGATTAGGTGAGACTAAAGTCCTGAATACAAATATTGTTTCACAATCATCTAACCAAATGTGCTATTTATATAAAATTTCATATAACATAATGTAGCATCACCTTTGGTCTATGTACGCGTATGTTCTTCTCAATAAACCTGCAACTTGGACAGTCTAATATTCATATATCATACCACTGGAACTTCCTCAGTATATACTGGTAACAAGGGCTACAACATATATTGTCTTCCAGCCTGCAACTTGGATAGTCTGATATTCATATATCATACCAATGGAACTTCCTCAGTGTATACTGGTAACAAGGGCTACAACATGTATTGTCTTCTAGCCTGTAACTTGTATAGTATGATATTTATATATCATACAACTGGAACTTCCTCGGTATATACTGGTAACAAGAGCTAGAACTTATGTTATCCACTAGCCTGCAGAGTTACGCTAGCAAGTAAAAACTATGATATTTTATTCTACACACATTTCATATTATTACCTTATCCAGAATTGGCTTCACTGTTTAAATATCTTTGAAAAACAAACGTACCTTCATGTCCCCTCATAATAAAATTCCTAACTCAACTTGAATTCCAACTGCCAGAATCCTTTTAGTTTTTTAGTTTTCCTTTTAGCTCTCACTAAATCAACAATTTTGTTATCTGAAAAAATGTGGACTAATAGAATCATTTGGTTCTAGTTGCTGTAAATTGTTTTAATCCTTCAAGGCAGCACAGTTATCCCATTGTCCCTTTTAACAACTAACAAACAAACAATACCGGTTCTAATTTTGATACATAACATGTTTTTTGTAAAGTAGTAACAAAATAGTATCATTTAATCTCTTTAACATCTAACACCTATTTTTATTTTTTATTGAGAGTTTTAGAAACATTTATGCTAAAACACGTACTCTCCCAACTTATTTATGTCATGATATATTACACATTGCAACATCGATACATTGTATACATATACAATTTAGTGTAAACAATGTTGATGTATTTAAGTTCATGCACGAAAGGATCGTAATCAATTTAAGTGATCGGTAAATGACTTATATGGTTTAATATGTGTGATATTATCTTATTAAACTGATGAGCAAATTAAATTTCCTTAGTTAAAGTTGACTATGGTAATGCCACAGGTAGTAACATTTCTTAAAACTTTCTGAAGTATTTCCTATTCTCTGCTTAAAATTCTCAACTTGTGCAATGTTACATGCTTAAAATTATCAACAATTAGAAAGATACTCTGCTTCTTGTTTGTTTGTTTGTTTGAAATCAAGCACGGAGCTGCACAACGAGCTGTTATTGCTCTGCCAACCACGGGTATCGAAACCCTGTTTGTAGCGTTGTAAGTCTGCAGACATACTACTGTGCCACTTAGGGGCGAGTTTTGAGGAACTGGACTGAGTGGAGTGTCTTGGACTTTCTATTATAATTTGACAAAGCGACACAGAAATCCCCGGGGGGTCAGTGGTAAGTTTAAGGGCTTACTATGCGCTAAAGCAACGTGACACAAGAAAAAAGTCGTTATGAGTAAGTTGGCAATTTGATGGGTTTAATTAACATAATATCATACTCTGCTTCTAGTGATTCGTTAAGCAAATTTACCTTTTTAATATATAACTTGTGCAATATCTCCTGTCTCAATTAATCAACGGAGAGAGATATATATTCTTTTTTTCAGTTGATCTGTTAGGGAAGATTACTGTTTAATACTTATGCAGAGTCTGTTAATAAGACGTAAGTTTTTTGTTGGACCGAGCACAGCCCATTGATTGGCGTGCTTGACTATGGATCCGAGGTCCTCTGGTTCACGCACCTCGCAGTTTGGGTCTATGGGTCCATTATAACAGTAACGATAAAATCCCATTATTCGATTAAAATACCCCAAGAGTTAGCAGTGAGTGGTGTTGATTGGCAGTGATTGGCGTGCTTGACTATGGATCCGAGGTCCTCTGGTTCACGCACTCCTCACTTTGGGTCTATGGGTGCATTTTAACAGTAACGATAAAATCCCATTATTCGATTAAAATACCCCAAGAGT